CTTCCACCAGGAGCTGGAGAGCGGCATCAAGTTCACCCTCGACTACCAGGTACTGCCCTGACCGTGCCCTGCTGATACCCCCTTGCCGTGTACCTGCCCGTACCTGCTTGCAGCCCTGCATGCGCCCTGCCTGCAGCCCCTGCCCATGCCCCTGCCAGCACCTTCGTGCACATCCCTGCCTGCACCCCCCTTGTGCCCCATCCCAATGCCCCTGCCTTTGTCTTGTCGATGCCAATGCCTGTGCCTCCTTGCCCGTGCCCTCCTGCCCACGCCCCTGCCCATGTGTGTGCCTATTGCCCCTGCCTATGCCCCTGCCCATGCCCCTGCCCCGAGCCCTACAGAGCCTCATGCAGGGCTGCAGTTCCCCCCTCCTGCGTACCTCAGTTCCCCTCGTGCTGCACCAGGAGCTGTTCCCAGCCCCAGCCCTGTGACCAGCAGTGTCCACCTGGGAGCCAGGGCTGGGGTGTGCCCACAGCAGCCATGGGAGCCCCTGACCTTGGCCCTGGGGGCTGTCCCTGTATTCAGCCACGCTACCTGAGCTGCTGGCACTGTGGGGCACAGCTTCCCCAGGGCTCCCCTGGCCTGGCCCCATCCCATGGGCATGATGCCCGCTGGCCTCTCAAACAGCTGTGGGGCCGGGCAGGGGCAGGGGGCCCTCGCCACGTCACTGGGCAGGTGCCTCCTCTGTCTCCCCACGCAGGTGATCAGTGGGGGACACTATGACGTAGACTGCTACGTGGAGGACCCCAACGGCAAGACCATCTACCAGGAGACCAAGAAGCAGTACGACAGCTTCCCACACCGCACCGAGGTCAAGGGTGTCTACACCTTCTGCTTCAGCAATGAGTTTTCCACCTTCTCCCACAAAATCGTCTACTTCGACTTCCAGGTGGGCGACGAGCCGCCCATCCTGCCCGACATGAACAACCGCGTCACTGCCCTGACACAGGTAGGTCCCGGGAGGGAGGGGGGGACAGAGAAAGGTCCTGCTGCAGCCCTCAGAGGGCCTCACAGAACGGCGGTTGGAGGCTCATCCCCCTTCCCCTCCACCAGATGCAGAAGTGCCAACCGCCAGCCAACAGCCCCACCACATCCTCTGCCCGGACAGGGGTGCTCTGCTGGGTCTGGGCTCCCCCAGCTGCAGCACCCGGTGTCCATCCTGCAAGAGGGAATTGCATCAGCCATTCCATCCCTGGGTGTGAGCCCCTGGGCTGGGCACCCTGGTGCCCCGGCGGGGCTCTCGGCTCTGCCCAGGTGCAGAACCACTCTGGGTGGGGTCCAGCCGGGAACTGATGCCACAGGCACTGCTGTCCTGCTCTTGGGACTGTGTCCTGCTCCCTCAGTCGTTCCGTGTCAGGAGCAACGGGGCACCTTTGTCCTTGTCCCCCAGATGGAATCCGCCTGCGTCACCATCCATGAGATGCTGAACTCGGTGATTGACTCCCAGACCCATTACCGGCTGCGGGAGGCGCAGGACCGGAGCAGAGCCGAGGAGCTCAATGGCCGTGTCTCATACTGGTCGGTGGGGGAAACCCTCATCCTCTTCGTGGTCAGCATCGGACAGGTGATGCTGCTCAAGAGCTTCTTCACCGAGAAGAGACCCGGCAGCAGTGGGACCAGCACCTAGAGCCGATGTGTCTGTGCCCGAGCAGAGCGGGGAGCGGGATGGCAGCGGCCCTGGGGTTGTGCTTTCCCTCTGGCCTGTGCCGGAGGTGGGAGCAGGGGGTGACGTGACGCTGCTGAGTGGGGTGGACAGGGTGGACGTGGACACCCAAGTACAGGCATCCCCCCACATCGCCTCCCACTCGCCATGGCCCACCTCGCTGCCCTGTCCCCCTGCCTGGCCACCCTGTCCACACTCTCTGGCTCCTCTGAGAAGCGGGCGGGTGCCCTGGACCAGTATCAGCACCAACACTGGGGGACCCTCAGAGCCCGACATGACTGCAATGGCCACGAGCTGCCCCTCGGAGCCCTGCACGGCCAGTGAGGGGATGGGGCAGCTCTGGCCCACCTGGTGCCCACCCAGTGCCATCAGCCCGAGGAGAGCTGCCCGTGGGCTGGGGGTCTCTGTCTGCACCCTGATTGTCCCAGGGCACTCCCAGCAGCAGAGCTGCAGCAGCAGCAGCAGCATCCCATGAGGGCAGGTTTTTTGCTGGGTGGTCCTGTGGCTCTACTAGCCCCTCCCCTCGAAGCATTTCTCAGGCCAGCAGTGTTTGATTTGCCCCTACCAGGTGGTATTTTCATACTCACATGGGTCCACGCCTGAGAGTCAGCCCACCACGCACCCCCCCTGCAGATACGTGCCAGGGAAGCCCCATCCCTGCCCCAGCGTGCTTGGGACTGCAGCCCCCCATTCCCTGGCACCCCACAAAATGGGCACCCCCAGGAGAGCCCTGGGGTGAGCCCCCTGTGCAAGACCCCTGGTCTGTGCAAGACCCCTGGTGGCCTCAAGCCCTCAAGCAGGCGTGAGATCCCTTCCCAGAGCTTGAGCAACTCCACTGGCCTTTGCCACTTCCAAATAAATCCCTGCAAGCATGGCTGGCACCTCTGTTATTGGGCACCACTCCTGCCTGCCCTCCTGCCTGCCCCCTGTCTGCACCAGCCAAACCTGCTCCTGGCATAGGAGAAGGAGCTAGAGAGATCCCTTGGCAGGAGCAGCCCCCCAAGCACTATCCCAGCATGAGGCCACCCTGTCAGTGGTTTGGAATCAGTGTCCCACTGGGCAGTGGGGACCGAGGGGCTGAGGGAGCCCAGTGACCCACTGCAACAGAGTGGGGACCCCCCAGGCAGAGCCCAGCTGTGGTCCCTTCCTCAAGGCCAGGGGGATGCCAGGGCAGTCTTCATGGTCTGTCCCTCACCCAGGCATCGCTCCTGGTGCTGTGGGAAGGGCTCAGCTCAGGATGCAGGAAGGAGTAAGGGGCCCAGGCACCCACAGCCCCCTCCCACCCCTGCGGGCCCCAGGAGCTGTGCCACCTCCACTGTCAGCGCTGGCCTTGGGGCAGCTGCCACAGGCAGGAGCACCAGCCCTGTGTGCCTCCCAGTGGCCTTGGGCAGGAGCCAGGAGCTCCTGTTTGGAACAGAGCCAATGGCAGCAGCGCTCTGAGACTGCCACCAGCTCCGTGTCACTCACAAGGACCAGGCCCCCCACCCACGGGGACCGAGAGCCCTGCAGGGGTGAACAGGGAGGGCAGTCCCCAGGCCAGCCTGCAGGTGCCCTTGGATCTGCCCCTTCCTGGGGACCCTGGAGCCCCCCATGACATGAAGGACAAGAGGTGGCCATGGGACACTTTATTGCTGTGCAGAGCACAGAGAGGGGAGAGGGGATGGGGGGC